TATATATATGTATACGTGTAAATGTGTTAAAGGTATAGCAAAAAAATGAATATTAATGTGAGCAAGAAATTGCTACTGAAATTTATTCAGTTTTTGCTTCTTATTTTCTATTTTTTTTTATTTCAGAAATTAATGATGTATTTGGGATGAATAAATTGTGGCGAAATACCTCGTGTCATATCTGGGCCACTACATGTTTACGGTTGCACGTACGTCGTTTATCGGCACATGAAATCCGTTTATCGTTTTTAGAATATTTTAAAGAACATGATCACACATATGTGCCTTCTTCATCCGTTATTCCGAAAGATGACAGTTCGGTTGCATTTGTTAATGCCGGAATGAATCAGGTATGAATTTTGAAATCTTCTTAATGTGCAAAATCATGCACTTAAGATCCACTCACTTAAGACTTTAGAAGTTTGATAACTATCATAGATGCTTTAGAAAATTCCTGAATTGGAAAATATCAGACTGTGCTTGGTTTGCTTGTTAGACCAATTGAATCTTCAGGAAATATGTAGTTTGTCTTGCTGTACATTTCAAAAATGCTTAAATATTGTTTTATGCTTTGGAAATGAGAAGTTTTAGAAAACAGATTATTATATTTTGCTGATTTTTAATACCGTTTCATGTTCACTTATCATATTTTTATAACTTAATCAAATATATACGAATACTTTAAAGTTTTTATCTGTAACTGAATTATGATACCTTCAGTTCAAGCTACTTTTCCTGGGTGCTAAATATACGGAAGGCAAATTTGCTGCTTTGCGTAATGTTGTTAATTGGCAAAAATGTATTCGTATTGGTGGCAAACATAATGATTTCGACGATGTTGGCCATGATTTAACGCACCATACATTTTTTGAAATGCTTGGAAATTATTCTTTTGGTGGTTATTCGAAGGTTGTGAAATTTATGCGTTCTTATTTTTCTGTTTTTTATTTTTGTTTTAAATCCTTCGGAATAATATTACTTTTATAATTCATGACAATGTAAGCTTAAAATAACTTAATGTGCAACAAAAACTGTTCATATACTCATTGTCATTTACACTTTATTTTCACGGTTTTTATATGTTAGTTGAAGAAACAGATATGTAACAGATGCAAGGTAACACAAAATTAGTGTTAAGAGAAGTTTGAAATCTCACATCAGAAATCGTGATCAAACAGCTTTGTTTCAGGCAGAAGCATGTCTATATGCATGGAGCTTTCTCACGGATGTCCTCAGAGTACCGGCTGATCGATTATATATTACATATTTTAGTGGAGATGAAAATATGAGATTGAAGGAAGATCGTGAATGCCGCGATATCTGGATTAAATTAGGGTATAATTAAGAATTTTATTTGGAAATGGAATATATCTGCCGTGATTTAATATGTGTTCCATGAATTTATATCTTTTACAGTGTTCCCGAAGATCGTGTTCTTGGCTTTTGTTCTAATCATAACTTTTGGGAGATGGCTGAAACGGGTCCATGTGGTCCGTGCACGGAAATTCATTATGATCTTATTGGTAATCGAAAAGCACAAAAACTTGTGAACTCAAATGATCCAACAGTAGTTGAAATTTGGAATCTTGTTTTTATGCAGTTCAGCAGGTAAAATTTTCGAGATCTCTTATTTGTGTCATGTTGCTTGAGGAAATTTCTGGAAAGTTTTATATTTTTATTGTTGAAATTTAAAAAATTAGAAAGCATGAATAGAAAATAGAAATTAAGAAGATACCATGTCAGTCTACAACAGTTTATTACAGGGATCTGTTAGGCAGGATCAGTAGTTTACCAACGTTGTACATAGATTGCGGAATGGGTTTCGAGCGATTAGTCAGTATTGTCCAAGGGCTGCAATCTGCCTATGATACCGATCTTTTTCTTCCGTTGATGAAAATTATTCATAAGGTTAGTTTTTGAGGCTTTTAAATTTTAATTTGCGTTTGAAAGTTTTCGAATTTTATCTTTATTAAGATCATGTGGAATTAATGAATTCCATCTTTTTTTTACGACTTTCAAGCTCTAGTACTCCAAAGTCGGAGAATATGGTGGACGATTGGGAGATATCGATACAGCGTATCGGATTATCGCAGATCATCTCCGCGCTGCTTGTATTATGATTTCAGACGGTGTTGAACCTGGTTCACGAAATCGAGGGCTAGTTTTTTCCTAAGATGCATTTTTTAAGGATACAAATATCAGACTTCATCTTTGTTTACTGTGCTATCCAATATTTACTAGCAAAAATTGAATCGAAAATGCTATTTGTGTTCATTTCAAACTTATCATCATATATTTATCTTTCTTTATATTTCTGTCATGTGCTCTTTCTGCTAAACATTTTTTATAGTTCCGTAAACTTTGTTATAGCAGTCAGTTCCAAATCTTCAAATGTTTCAATAGTTATTGGTTGAATTTGCGCTGATATTCTTTAAATAGTATCTCTTTAGTTAAAATTATAATTCCAGGTATCATCTTCGACGGGTTTTGCGGCGTGCTGCATTGAATTTAAGCCTTACGCTTGGTGCAGAACGTGGGACACTAACATCTCTGGTGCCTGGTTTCGTTAATCATATGGCAAGTTTAACCATATAATTAAGTTTTCAAAAAGCGTCCAAAAATTTATTATTTATGTTCAGACTTTACTGTACGATAGTGTCGCAAAATGTGAAACTGTAATAGCTAAAACGATCATGTCTGAAGAAGAATTATTTTGGAAAAGTTACGATAAAGGCAGCAAATTACTTGAGGATAATATTGCATCTCATCAACATATGCTGCCAGGTATGACTTTCTTGTTTATGATTAACAGTTTTCCCTCGTTGTTCTGGTGATTTTGCTACTGTGCACCAAATTGATAAGGTTCAATGATAAACCTACATTTAAACTCACTCTTGGATAGTCAGTCTAATTATTGTTCTACTTATATAATTTTTTTGAAAACACATATAACCATATACTTTCACACATAAAATGTGTCTATGCAGAAATTTTATACTGATTTATTTAGGAGAAATTGCATGGATGTTATCAGGAACTTACGGTCTTCCAGTGACAATAACTCAAAAGATATGCAATGAAAAAGGGTTGAAAGTTGATATGGATGGCTTTTATCAATGTTTGATGAAGTTTCAGGTTATTTTTTCGTCTAAACATTATGTTGTACAATGGGTGATAATTTTGTTATTTACTATCTTTGATAAGAATCTCGACCATTCCATAGTTTAGTTTTATGGAGTGAGACGATAAGCACTAGGGTAATTATATGTTTTTTTTAAAAAGTTTTTAAAAAAAATTTATGTTTTTTTAAGAATGGTCAATGTATATAAGCAACACTTTCTATTGTTTATATTCCACTGAGAGCTGGAACTTTCAGATTTAGCGATCCTTTACAAAATAGTACGACCAATAAAATAAGCGAATAGTTGTAAGATTAAATAAGCTTATGTACGTTGGTGAAGGAGGAATTTCAGAGAAGTCAAAAAGCCGAGGAGGAACCTTGGCAAAAAGTCGATTTAGAAGAAATGATATTGAATGGTGTAAAACCAACCAATGATTCAGAAAAATATGATTGCGAACGAATCGAATTGGGCAAATACGGTATGTAGTTTTTACCTCTTAATCATATTAAAATCGATGTAGATTTAAAAAACGAGATCTTCCTCTCATGTCTTAATCTCTCAATGACATCAAAATATCTCGCTTGCGCTTCTTGACATAGAGGAAATCAAAATTGAACTTCTTTTCAAAAAAAAATTTATTTAAACTATAATTTGCAAAGGATTTTTAGAATTTCCGAGCAAAATAGGTACTGTTATGGCAGTCTTTGATGTCAACGGTAAAAATGTAATGGCGCTTAAAGCAGGGGAAATGGGGTCCGTGATCATGGATTCGACGGTTTTTTTTGCTGAGCAAGGAGGACAGTTGTACGATGCAGGGACCCTCCGAGATAGTTTAGATGTAATTTTCATATTCAGGAATTATAGAATTTCTGAATTACAGAATTTCTATATGTACACCGCATCTGTTTCTGATTTCTGATATGAATGTGGATAATATTATATTTCAATAATTACTGGTTGCTATTTTTAAAGAGCTTATGAATAACTTAATACATCATTGGTTACAAATCGGTTTTGTTCATAGCTTATGAACTATCTCGGAGCTTATTGACAAAATCGAGTCGTAACCAATAATGTATTATGACGAATAAAATTGAGAACAAAATTGAAAATTGTGGAGGAATTTATAATTATTTATATTCTTGATCTTGCATTGCCGTCACTTTTCGTATTTTTTTTAGAACGTTATATTTACTGTGAATAGTGCGAAAAGACGAAATGGTTATATTATCCATACAGGGAAAGTGGCAGACGGCGAAACTTTGAAAAAGGGTCTAAAATTGGTGCAAATGATAGACACTGTAAGTTTGCAGCGATGTCAAGCTCCCTTCTTACTTCCAATCTCCGCAGTTGCTGCTATAAAATAAGATATTCTTTTTATTTCTATCTTTTCCCAGCATGGCTTTCACCACCAGAATCTCATAATGTGGATAGAATGATTGTCTTGTTTTGTTTAGTATCTCGGTAATTTATATGACCGAAATTAAGGTATTTGTTCTATCTCTCCGAAATTTTGACTTTTTAATTTGCTTTACGAAAAATATCTGTTAATCGTCGTCATCTTTTCAGAAACAACGGTTTTCGCTAATGTGTGGCCATACTGCTACCCATATTCTTCATTTTGCTCTTGAAAAAGTACTTGGTATGTCAATTCGTCAGATGGGTTCATTTATTGGTCCTGATAAGCTGTATTTTGATTTTTTTGCCCTTGACAAAAAGTTCACTCTTGAACAAGTTAGTTTTTTGTTTTCTCCAGTAGACAACAGTTATTTTTTATCTGCACATATTTTCCTTCTACTATTTGTGTGATCAAATTTTGTGCTTTATTCCGTTCACTCATTTAAAGATTCAAGATTGATGATTCAAAACTTTTTTTTCTAGTTTTTTCTTTTTCCTTTTATATGTTGGTCGGAATCTTGTAGAAAATGTGTAGGAATTCCCTATTTTCGTATTCGGAGATTGCAATTTGAACATCATTTAAGTGGGAGTACATGAGACAGCTTATTGATGTTAAGTTTTTCTTTAAGACATTCTTTTAAGGACAGGAATTTTTATTTTTGAAATGAACTCAAGAACCCAATTATATGATATGGTCGCCATTATATAAAATAAGTGTTTTTTTTTTTGTTAATGCTCGTTGGTGTGATATGAAATTTTGAAGAAATAAAACTAAATGAGTGAATTACAGATTGAAAAAGTCATGACAACGGTGAATATGATTATTAAAAGTAACTTAAATGTTACGGTGAAATACATTTTGAAAGAAGAATTGGGTTTTATGCACAAGAATTTCTCTGCATTCGACATTTCACAGGTAATATTTTCGCTTGTCTACTTTTGCAGATTAGCTTAGTTATTGGTGTTTGGAGTTTGAAAATGTTGAAAACAGGATCAGCAGTCAACTTTTCAAAAACAGTATTTTTGGTTCCTTGATATTGTTTTTCTTTGACATTTTTTAATTTTTTCCTTGACTTGAATTTATTGTTAATATATTCAGGAATCAGCCTTCGATGGCTCATATCGGATTGTTACGATTGAAAGCTCGCGACTGTTAGGTGAAGATATCATCGAACCATGTTGTGGGACGTATGTCTCATTACCATATTATTCTACTTTCTTATACTAAACTTTGTATATCTCTGTGGATAGTTTTGTTTAGCAGTATAGATTTTTGCAACTCGTCTTTTGATTTTTTATTTTTAATTAATTTTCAAGTTGTTTTCCAATCCTTGTTGATAATCATTTTGCATTTTTGCTTTAGTTCTATTTCTCAAATAAGCAGTATTGTACAAAATTTTATATTCTTATTGTCAAATTTTCAGGCATGTTTCTAACACAGGTGATATTGGTGAATTTGTAATAATTGGCCAAAAATCACGAAGCGGCAATGTGCGTCGAATCTACGCAGTAACAAACAGCGCTGCTATAGAAAGCATTCATAACGCGACGAAGCTCACAGATAAACTGTCTCGTGCGTTGAGCGGCTTTAATGAAACGTTCATCGATACGCATGGCCTTGTGGAAGTTGGTAATTTATGAATTTTGCAAACCTTTAAATTGCAGTTTCTCAATTTTTATTTTTTGTTTCCTTTTTTAACTATAGGGAAAATTGCATTCCTGAATAATTTTGGAGCTGTTGGAATTTACTGGATGACTAAGTCCGCTATTTTATATTTCGCATCTTTAATTTATTAACTGATATCATAAATTTAGAATATAGAGAAATGCTTTTTCAGGAATTTCAAAAGAATCTTCCACTGCCATCCAAATCCTTAATATATGAAATGCTCAAAACCGTGAAAAAGAGGAATAAACATTTAAGTCAAAAACTTCGTTCATTTGGTGAAAATTAGTGCACCACGAAACTGGGGCTTTCGTTTTTATTCTGAAAGATAGGATTTATTGCTTTACTTGTTTTAGGGAATATTTTCATTAATTAGCTTGGTTAGTAAATACTGTATTGGCATTATTTAAACATTTTCCTGTGTGAAAAAAATGAATTAACTTGAATATGCTGAAAATTCAGAAAATAATGAACAAAATAAGCTGCTAAAGTGTACAAAATGCGTTTTCATATTTTTCAGAAATTGTTTTTGATATTCAACTATGTTGTATTAACTTGGTTTTTTTAATTTGTAAATTTTAGATTAGAATAAAAGATACGATTCTTCCTTTGTACAGTTGTCTGAATTCCTTTATGACTTTGTTACTGCACAACAGTTTCAAAAAGAAGATGAATTGCTTCCAAATATGTTTGGAATTTAGTAAGATTGTAAATTATGGTGATCGTCCAGAGCACAAGAAACAGAGTTAGATTGGTTTTCATTGTTTGAAGATGACTGCGTTCTATTTTTCATTTTATTTTCTTGACTTCTTGATAACTTTTTAAACTGAATTTTGAAAAGAAGTAATTGAGTCTCAAATTTTTGCATCCTTTTTTTGTTTCACCAGTAATTTCCTGTGAACTTTCAGTTTTTAAAGTAATTTCCGGCTTTTATATTAGAATTCGGCCTAATTTTTTATTTTTTTTTTGCTTTGATTACCATTCCAGTGGATTATCGTTGTTTTATCCATCATTTATTTTGCTCTGATTATACATCTAAGTTAAGGGAAAGCTTTGTAATTTTTTGTAATTTCTTTTTTGGGACTTGCTGTACCAGATGTTCGTAGTGGAGGTGATACTCGCAATTCTCAGCTATACCGGCAAAGATCGGAAGAGCGGATAATTGGTAAAGAGATATTTATATATTTTTGTGTTCCATCCGGTTCTTAAACATACGACACGCCGGACATCCAATCATTAATTATATCAAAAAGTGCTATTAATGTTTTGCTTGTAAGAGAGATCATCCACCAGTCAGTTTGTCTTATTCAACAATATTCCCACACTTTTCTTAATCCTTTTTAAAATCTTATTTAGCGGCATCTTTGTGTTTTTTCTGGCTTGTGAAACTTTTTCTTTCAAATAAGTACGTACAAATTCATGGATAAAATATCTAATGAATTGACACTTCGATCATATTTGAATTTTCAAAAATTTAGCCAAAGGTTACTGTTTAATTATTGTAAGAGCTTTTTTTCGGCACGTTTAATTATTTTGATAACTGAAATATATCAGTTAAATATGATTTAAATTTTGCTTTTATCACTATTTTTTGTTTCTTGTTTTTGTTCATATAAATTTACGGTTAGTCTTTAAATACTCTAAGATAAAATAGAATGGTGATTTTTATAAGTGTGTTTACACATATGCATTTATAATGGTAGTGTTTAACTATTCATTAATTAAGCTTTTTTTTCAGTGTTTTGTTGCATGTTAAATATGTGATCATTTGATAATAATGTCCCAGGCTTTATTAGCTACTAATAATATAATCGGAATAGAAAATTGTCCAGATAGATTCATTTATCAATTGAATAAATTTTGTCGTTAATTTGAATCATTTTCATTTATCACATGCATATGTATATATACGTGCCATTGGCTATCCGTTATTTTTGTAAAACTACTGAAAAATATTTCCTTGATCACGTATCCCATGTGCAAGCATTTCCAACTCTTTTAGCTGTTTCCCGGTAGTTGGTATCATACCCTTCGGTTGGTTATAAATGCGGGAAATGGCCCCTGCAGTACCAAGGCTTCTATGATCAAGTTACTGGTATCCCTTTGCTTAATTCATGAATGGAATGAAAAGAAAAAAGCGGCATTATAAATTTATCAGTGCTCACCTTTGGGGCGCCATCTATAATGCAAATATATGTATTTATGTGTATATGCGCATGTGTATGTATGTGTATGTCCATGTATGTGGGTGTGTGTATGTGTATGTGATGTATGTGTGTGTATGTGGGTATGTGTATGTGAGGAATGAAAAGAAATAAAGGCCTTAAGAAAGAAAAACTTCTTTCTACTGATGGTTTTGCATACCTTCTCTGTATCATTTATCATCACTTTCACCATTTCATCCATTAAAAAATTACCGTCATGCTGACCATTAATACTACATGCAAAATTACAATACATGCATAAACATTCAGTTTTAAGTATTATTTCTCAACATATACCTTATTTTATAATTACACATTTCTGTGCTATTCACCGTATTGTTCCTTTTCATATCGTAACGACACTTTAAGAATGATTGATGAGAAAAATGCATCATAATAACATTTTAAAGGATGAAAAAATAATAATATCATCATAATAGTATTTTAAGAATGAAAAAATAAAATACCATA